CAGGAAGTACCGATTGGAGTTTTTTTCATATGCAATCAAGTCCTACAAAGTGATTATTAGTTACTTTTCCTATTTTGGTTTTAATATCTACAAAAATCAATCCAGTCAACGATCCCATCTAGATATGTTAATTTTAAAATTCATCCAAATATGGAATGTACATAAATTAAAATGACAAGTGTCTCATTATATAAGTAAGTCCACAGTGGAAAATTTTATATATACTGGTAAACATGGATGAAGCTCCAAATAATTACATGAATATTATTGATGATCAAGATCTTTATTCGTCTACTATACCATGGGCCAATGAATTTGATTTTGGTGAAGAAGTAGACTTGTCAAAAATATTTGATATGACTCAAGAGGATCATGTGAACACCACCATTATTTCAGAATTACCTAATGTTGTTCCTAAGGAGAAGCAGCCTATGACCACTACCAACATCTCTAGTAATTCATCATCGGATAAGAATTCTTTGAGGATAACTTATCCTATTATCCTTGATGACGATGATGACTATTCATTATCGTACATATATTCCATGGGATCGAAAAATGTTTCCATGTTGAAAGAAGACGGAGGAACAAGTACTAATGTGATAAATCAAGAAAATCCTAAAACCTTTATCCCTGTGCCTATTGTTATGGAGAGACAAGGTGAAACTAAAAATGACATGATTCTCCAACAAACTCTGCCAAAAATCCCAATTTTGGAGAAATTCGAGAGAGAAGCGTCATTGACATCAAAGTTCTGCATTGATCAACCTTTGAGAACTTCAACTGATTCTTGGAAAGAAGAAGAGAACCATAAGACTAATGATATGTCACATATTCTAACTTTGGAGAAATTAGAAAGTCACTTCATCAAGTCTAAGTTGATGGTTGGTCAAGAAAATGGAATTTTGAGTTCCTTGGATAATGAATTCCCACAAAGTACAAGGTTTATTTTCCTTTCCCTCTTTTTTTTTTTTTCAAAAATATATATGTTTTGTTTTTATTTAGATATAATTTTCAAACTTTTCTTTAATCAATTCTTAGATGTAAGTAAACTTTGTTGTTGTCATTTTGGTTTAGCATTAGAAATGGAGGTCCTATAAGAAGGTCACCTAATAGGACAAGCACAAGATACCAACCATTTGGGAAAGAAACAATCCATCCAAACAATAATCAAGGATCATATAGGCATGTTTGATTGTTTTCTCTCTTTAATTTATTCTCCAAATTATCATCAATGCATTAATTAGTAATGCTCGTGAAAATAACTCATCTCATTTTGTTAATAATATTTTTCAGGGTTGGTCAAAACAGTTCAGAGTCGATGTTCAACATACCACAAAATTTCAATGAATATACGCAAGGGTATGGCTATTCGAATGAAGCGATTACATCGAAAAGCTTGAACAGTAGAAAAGAAAATGAAGATGGATCTCCTGGTCAATTACAGTCTAATTCTTGGAACACACAAGATAGCCACTTCAATACCACAACAAAATGGCTTTGGGGTCCTTTTCACTAATTTGAAGTCATGTATATAATATGGAACAAAAATTATGGAGTTGCCAAAAATGTAGCTTCTCTGCAATAGATTCTGTAAATATTAATCCTTTTATTTTCATCAATTTCCGTTTTGAAATTTCAAATAATATTTTAATAATAGAATACTCTGATTTTATTATCATCAGTTATTCTATAAAAGAAGTTACTCGATATAATTTTGACATACAGAGAGGTGTCGGTTGGAATTTTGTCATATCCAGTCAAATCCTAATATTAATTATTTTTCTTATTTTAGTGTATAATATCTACAAAAATATTTATTTAAAATTCTCACTTATTTTAGAAAAGAGGTTACTTAGCATAATTTTGAAAAACAGAGTAGTTGGAGTTTTGTTGTATCCAGTCAAGTCCTAGTAAGTGATTATTTGTTACTTTCCCTATTTTAGTGTATACTTATAATAACCTAGAACCCCTTATTTAATGCATTACATTTAAAACTGTATCATTGTAAAAAAAAAAAAAAAAACACTATAAATATTTTATATACAATGAGTTTTAGACAGAAACTATAGCTATTTGATTTGGGTAAATATAATACTTATAGCTATTCTAATCTAATAACCCTAAAACTAATCAATTTTGTAAGTTGCTCTTATTAATACTGCTAATATATACATAAACTCCTTGCATGCTAATACCATGATTTTTCATGTATTAGTTATACATATGATAATATCAAATAAGAGAGTATAATTAATGCGTATGTTGAAAATATGTATCAAATAAAGTATTAAGGGTGTATATGAATAATGTTGAATATGATGTGTTAGTAATGTTGGTGTTTAATTATGTTTGCATTAGTTATGCCGAGAGTGTTTCTTATACAATATTTGGTTTGATCTATTAAAAACAACATATATTGCATAACTTCTAAAAAAAATATTTGTTCACAAAAATACCCTCCAGAAATATGGTGGAAATATTAATGCATTTGTTAAATCCCCTTGCATTATATTTTTGAGGGACAATTATATTTTTAACCATATTAATGCATTTGTTAAAGGCCCTTGCATTGATAATAGCATACTAGTTTCTGGTAATGTGCATTGCACGTTTGTTCTTTATTATTATGATAATAAAAAATTTATCGATAATAATTTTGAGTTATAAAATGAAAATATTGGTGGTGTCAGGAGTAAATTTTTATTTTTATTTTTGAGAATTGGTAACATGTCAGGAGTGAAAATTGTTAACCACTAACTAATAATCTCTTTTACTGCTTATATGTTATATTCGAAATCAATTTATTTTATATGTTTTTCTCTTTAAGATTATTATTCCTTTTTCTTAGAAAGATAAATTTTAATGTTGTTCATATTTGACTTTTAAGTACTCCTTAAGATTAAATTAAATTACCTCATTTGTTAGAATATGTCTTATTTAGAGATTTTCTCGATTTCTATTCCTCGATATTGTTGAGGGAGAAGCATTATTTATCCTTTTTACCTTGAAAGCTAGGAGACTAAAGCAAAATATAATTTCAATAAGTCATTGTCAAACTAAAGGAGGCTTACTTTGTAAAATACACATGCATTAAGTTATTAAAATCTAATTAAAAATAAAATAATCAAATGTTAATCAAATTTATTAAAAATTACTCATGCAAAATATTGAAAAATTGTTGGAGAGACATGTCGCATACCTCATTTGTATTGGCGCAATTACTAAAACTTCTATTCAACGGTCTGCAAAAGCATCACCTCTGATTTATACCTGAGATTCAAAAATTACATCATAAGTTCATAAAACAAAATTTTAGCAGTTAGTTCATATGACTTGTAATAATGTCAATTGAAGTTTGTATTATTTTAATTTTTATTATTTATTTAATAGTTAATTTTATGAGATAAATATTTTCATTAATGCAAATATATATTTATATTTGGGTAGGTATTTGTATTTAAATTAAAGTCTTATATATGTCACAAATGTATTATCAAGTTAACAAGATCTTCTAACTTCAAAATATATTATTGTAAAATGTTCTGAGTTTTTTTTTAAAAAAAAAAAAAAAACTCACAACCAATGTGACAATATGTGAATATATAAAATGTAGTTGTTCTATTCACATGTTCATATGACATCTAAATAATTTAACGTGGAATACACATGTAAAGCACATCTGCTTAGATAACAAGAAAAATACAAAGAAAATATTGTCTATAAGGTAATCTTAGTGAGATAAGACTAATTACACGATTAACCTCATCAAATTGAAATAAATATATACATTATTGCATTTAACTAATAAAAATTTTCATTGACCATCTTCATAGGTTTGCGTGAATAAGAAATGTATATAACGATCCACATTGAACATTCACAGAAGAATCTGCAATATTATTTTTTGCTAAGCTTATTATTCCAGTCTTCGCTTAAATAAGCAATACTATTTACTATAACATATATTTTTGGAATTGGTAATCACGTGCAACACACATGTCAAAAAACTAGTTCATTAAAAAAAGAGTTATGCATTTCGGGTGAACAAATAAGCGTGGAAAAGAGTTAGAGGGGGATACGAGCCCTCTCTCATTATTGTTCCCGGACCATCCACCTCTTCCTTCCCCTTCGTGTGGCTCAGTGAGATTAGATTTTTAGAACGAACTGAGGTGATAAAAAATAAAAGATTGCTGACAGCAAATCCCTATTCATGAAAGTTCCGTGTAATTAAGGTTAAAGGGGAAAATGAAAGTGTGCTCCGATGCACAAACTAAAGCTAAGATCTTCAGAAGCTTACCTTATTATATATCAAATAAGGAGAGACTTTCAAACCTATCTAACTAATAAGAAAAAGGAGACATTCAACCACTTGACGGTAAGGAGAGGGCAAGCCAAAACTTACTTCTTTGAAGTTGTTAGATCGAAATAGTATATTATACAACTGCCGCTAACTGTAAAGGGGGTTGATTCCCCTTATACGTGATATAGTAATTAAAAAAAGATGATTTAGATATGCCTTACCTGCATTAAGATCGAAAACTTGTCGTCTAGTACTTATGTCAGTTATTGTTCCTAGAGTTAACAAGATATTCCCATTGATGATGTATCCAATACTTATTTTTTAAATTAGAGTAATTATAAATTCTGATATTGAAAGGATAAATCAGTCCATATTATTCACTAGTTTGAAACAGACAGGAATTGAATTGAACATTAAAATTATATTTAGCAAACCTTAATTGTAGGACAAAACAAAGTTAAAAAAGGGAAACACTAACAGCCTCCTCTTTTTGTTAGACCATTTCATCTCCTCACATATTCAACAGAAACAAACACTATAAATAGTTTCTCCATTTTTTAGGAAATACATCTTTCAGAGCCAAGGGGCATGTACCCTCTCTAATAAGAAATCCCCAAAAGCTCTCTATCAATTTAAATATACAAAAACATTTTTTTTACTTTGGGAAAAATACATAAAATTATTTTTTTTTAAATCAAAATATTATGGCTAAAAAATTAGTCATTGGTAGCATTGCCTCAATTCTTGTGGTGGCTTGTGTTGTTGCAGCATGTGTCACCATTACCAAAAAGAACGCGAGCGATCCATCAAGTGGTGGTGGTGATGGTGCTAGCAATGGTGGTGTTTCAACCTCTACAAAATCTGTTAAAGCAATATGTCAACCTACTGATTACAAAGAAACTTGTGAGAAGAGTCTTGCATCAGCCAAGAACACTAGTGACCCAAAGGAACTTATAAAAGTTGCATTTGAATCAACCATAACTGACATAAAAAATGCCATAAAAAATACTGACTTGATCAAGGATGCAGCCAAAGATCCTAGAACCAAAGAGGCTCTACATACTTGTGAAGGTCTTCTTGATGTGTCTATTGATGATCTAAGAAGATCATTCGATAAAGTTGGCACCTTTGATATCAACAAGATCAAGGATTATACCGATGATCTAAAAACATGGATCAGTGCTTCGATTACTTATCAAGAAACTTGCTTAGATGCTTTTCAGAACACAAGTGGTGACACTGGTGAGAAAATGAAGAAATTGTTAAAAACTGCAGGGGAGCTTACTAGCAATGGTCTTGCTATGATTACTAGCTTTGGTGACATGCTTACTAGCATGAACATCCCTGGTATTAGCCGCCGATTATTGGCAAATGACTACACATCATTCGTTGAAGACGGTTCACGTAGGCTTCTTCAAGTTTCAAGTACCAAGCCTAATGCTGTGGTTGCTCTAGATGGCAGTGGACAATTCAAGACCATCAAAGAAGCCCTTAAAGGTGTGCCCCCAAAGAACATTCAACCCTATGTCATCTTAATCAAGGCAGGTGAATATAAGGAGATTGTCGATGTCCCAAGAGGGGTGACAAACGTTGTGTTTATTGGCGAAGGCCCAACCAAGACCAAGATTACTGGCAACAAGAACTATGCTGATGGCACTGCCACTTTCCATACCGCCACCGTTGGTAAGTCAGATTATTCAATTTCGTGAATTAATGAGTTTAAATGACGTCTAACATGTACAAAAGTTAAAATGTTTCTCTTAAAATGTCAATGCAGCCGTGAACGGAGATGGTTTCGTAGCAAGGGATATCGGGTTTGAGAACACAGCAGGAGCAATGAAGCACCAAGCCGTTGCACTCCGTGTATCAGCAGACAAGGCAGTTTTCTACAACTGCAACATTGATGGATACCAAGACACTCTATACACACATTCCTACAGACAATTCTACAAAGATTGTTCCATCTCAGGAACCATCGACTTCATCTTTGGCGATGCATCTGCCGTGTTCCAAAACTGTAAGATGATTGTAAGGAAACCAGGTAACAACCAAGCTTGTATGGTCACTGCTCAAGGTAGAAAAGACCATCGTGGGGTCGGTGCAATCGTTTTGAGGAACTGTGAAATCAGGGCTGAGCCAGCATTCACTAGCACTCAGCCACCAATCAAAGCCTATCTTGGACGACCATGGAAGGAGTATTCCAGGACAATTATAATGCAAACTCAGATAGACGCGTTCATTGATCCTGAAGGATGGGCTCCATGGAATGGTAACTTTGCTCTAAACACTCTGTACTATGCAGAGTATCAGAACAGGGGACCAGGAGCAAATACTGACAAAAGGGTTAAATGGGCTGGTTATAAGAGAAACATTTCACCACAGGAAGCTGAAAAATATGCTCCTAATATCTTCATTGATCAAGATAGCTGGATTAAGAAGACTGGCATTTCCTATTGATGAATCTGTAACAACTTTAATTATGAATCTAATCTTCTACTGTTCAATTTTTTTTTTATCCAACTTATGTTTATTTAGTTGCTTTTCTAGCTATGTAATGTAATACTTAATTAGTTTTAGTTTATTCATATCTATGTCTGAGCTTATGCAAATTCAAGAGGCAATTCGACTTGGCATTCAGCTTGTTTTATTCTTGTTTTCCCCTCTAATTTGCATTTTATCTACCTAAATTCTACGTCATATAGAATTACACTGAATGGAAGTTCTAGCACCACTGAATTCAGGGGCCGATCCAGGATTCAGAGGTTGTGGGTGCCATAACGCCTTTAAATAGACGTATTCGTTAAATCGATAAAATATTTAACCCATTTTGCCCTTGTAAATAGCAACTTGGGGCTATTGTTCGACTATTTATCTTTTCAGTTTATAAAGACAAATAAATATGACAACTTGGCGCAAGAAAAAAACTTTCAATAATATCCTCTATAATTGCACTTGGTGAATTTTTTTCACATGCATAATTTTAGTAACAATAAAAATCTTTAAAGACCAACAAAATCATATGAGATTTCAAAATAATTTTTCATGCCATCCTTTAATGCAACATGCATTTTATTTTGTAATTTTAATTCTCGATAAGATTTAAATTATCATAATCTAATCTATTTCTTTTTTCATATGCATTCAATTGATTTAGATAATATAATAAAGCGCAAGAGAAACTCGGCATCAAGTTTAAAAATTTTTAACAAAAAGAAAAGAAAATTTTGGAGGAGAAGATCTAAAACAAATATTAGTCATAATTATGATTATAAATTATTTCATTAAGAACAAAAAGAGAATTACAAATTAAAGTTGTTTCTAATAAATAGAAAAGTAATGTTCTTTTTTAAATAATCTAAAAAAAACGTTAATAAGTAATTATAGAAGTTAGCAAGACATTGAATGCAATATCTAAGTAATTATAGAAGTTAGCAAGACAATTAGAGTAGAAAAAGTTGAGTATTATACACTTTTACTTGTCATGTGTCATAACTCAATCCATCGGGCCGTGTAGGCATTGTAATGACCCGCATGGTCATTTCTGTGTCTTGCCTTCTGTGTGTCGTTTAGAGCGTTCCTATAGCGACCCCAAGTCATTTATGACTTGCTGGGACTGACAGTTCGGTCACCTGGTCGTTCGTTTGGTCTTGGTGCGAGTTTTTGTGTTTTGGAGCTTATGAACCTTGAACGATCATTTTCGATCAAAAGTTCAAGAAGATGACATCGGAATCCAATTCTGACGATTCCATCAGCTCCGGAAGGGTCATTTTAGGCTAGTAGCATGGTCGACATGACTCTCGAGGTTTTCAGTGTGAGTCGGTGCGATTAGGCGTTTTAGCCTTTGAAATTTAGCCTTAGTTTGACTTTGGTCAACATTCTGAGTAAACGCGCTCAGATGAGAATTCCGTCAGCGTGGTTAGCTTCAGAATGTCGAGTTTGGTCTAGATTGACCCTTCTTTTGTGCGTGGAGGTTTTTGATAACTTTCCGAGCCCTTTCGTGGGTTTTGACTTAAAATGGCTTTTGGAAGTGGGACCCACTTTTTATCGAAATGACCTCTGATGGAAATTTCGACTGCGCCGTTCAGTCTGGAATATCAAATTTGGTATGGTTGCATATCTCGTTTGCGTGCACGGGGTTCCGAACGAGATCAGAGCAC